ATGATTTATAAATTTTTAAAAGAGGAGTAGCATTTTCTGTAAAGCCAATTTTTATGGAGATTTAAAGCCGCTCGCACTATAGCTAGAATATGAGAAATAAGTTTAGACAAATGCTATAGATACGTACCTTCCATATTCATTCTACAAAAGGTGTATAAGCAATAACTTTCGCATCCAAATCAACCAACTCAGAGTTAATGATTTGAAATTAAAAATGAATAGAAGCATTTGATATTCTTTGAAGAAATAAGAAATAAATTTCAAATTAATAAATTGTGTTCCCGTAATATACCTCATTCGAAGTGAAAAAGAGTAAAAATTACTCAACTTCTAATTCATATCCCTTATATACTGATCGTCATTGGTTGACCCTGTGATTATTCATAACACGTGACAATCGTTTGTGAAACCCAGCCACGAGTAATGATGCCTGACGAAACTCACGTGACCTGACGAAACCATATAGTTTCGTCAATTCGTCAGTGACGAAACATATAAGTTTCGTCAATTCGTCAACGGCAAAACAGTTTCGTCAGGCATCTATAGCCACGAGAAACATAAGAAATTGGAATACTATATTATTTAACTTATAAATAGAAATATGTAAATTAGAGTTGGATGTTAGTAGATAGTTTTAGCTTTACTATTAATCCGAAAGTTCAATAGCGCTTGTAAATGACAATAAAACTGGTATTAAATTATTGCTTTCTGATAAGTAAAATTATTAAGTATCATAATCCGTAATATTTAAAGACTTGCAATACAGTTGGAAGTTTTAATTGAATGCAACAATTTTAGTACAAAATCGTATAAAACACTTGACAAAAAAAAAACAAGTAATTTGACAAATGTAATTGTGTTTTCTTAAATAGCTTTCAGAATTCTTTTGTTCTACAATAACAGTTAAACAAAGATATAATTCTACAGATCTTTACAATCTACTTCTTTGTTGTGATAATTGCTTATGATGGTTGAAGTCTATACTCTAATACGATAATAAAGAGCGTGTATTGCGTTTATATTATTTGTATTAATATGATTTGAGAAATAGTGACATTGGTGATTGCTTGAAGATGATCTATACTGTTTAAGAAAGGATTAAAAAAGGTAATGCATTAAAGAATGAGATTATAACTAAATATATATATAGATAAATTGTGACTTGTTTCTAACCAGAAAGGAGCGTAAAAAGGAGAAAGACCTTTGCCTTTCAATGCCAATTCTTGATAAATATCAATCGTCTTTTTATATCTAGATTCTAAACATTAACGCTAATATTATATTAACCCGTGTTTCATATAAACCATTTGCCAGTTATATGGATTAGTTATATTACCTTGTATGGTATATAAAATAAACTTCATTGTCTAAATGACCTTGAAATAAAAATCATTATGCAGATAATTTCGGTTATTTTGGTTATGCTGATTACTGTTACAAGACTGTTTACAATCGTGAAGAAAGTGACATTGCTGTCAATAATCCACTATAGAGATAGCGAAAATACATTGCTGTTGAAAATTGTCACGTCGTAACTGAAATTGTGCATATTGTAGAATTGGATGCGTTCTTTTTAGATCTTCAAACCAGCTAAAAATAAAAAAAGCGTAAACTTTGCCATCATTTGCTCGATGAGTGACAATCGCCTTGACCATTGCAAATGATTTATTATCTGAATTACTGTTCTCTTTTATCTCAACTATATCACCAACTTTAATTTTAATATGAAATTTTGCTTCATTATATTCTGCTAAGAAATCGTCATTTTTCACAAAATAGCTTATATAATCAAAAAATAAAACCTTATACGTGTTTGGCGCAGCAAACATTTTAAATTCTTCACAATAAGCTTTATAAAGGTTTGAGTCAAGATCACAATTAGTGTTCAAAATAATCTGGCTTAAACAGGCTTATAAGCCGTATAACCTAAAATATGCAAAAATTATGCAAGGAGTGTATATGCATATATAAAATATACAAGGAGTACATAATATACAGAGGTTATGTAAAGAGTGCATAAGTAGACAAAAATTATGCAAGGAGTACATTACGTATGTAGGGTTATGCAAGAAGTGCATATATATGCAGGGTTATACAAGAGGTGCATAATATGCAGAGGCTATGCAAGGAGTGCATAAGTAGACAAAATTATGCAAGGGGTGCATCATGCAGGAGCTATGCAAGGGTGCATAAGTAGACAAAAATTATGCAAGGGTGCATCATATAGGGTTATACAAGAGGTACATAAAGTAGACAAAAATTATACAAGGGGTGCATCACACATGCAGGTGTAATACAAGGGTGCATAAGTTAGTGTTCAAAATAATCTGGCTTAAACGGGTTATAAGCTATGTAACCTAAAATATGCAAAAATTATACAAGAGGTGCATATGTATACATAAATTATACAAAGAGTGCATAATATGTAGGGGTTATACAAAGGGTATATAAGTAGACAAAAATTATGCAAGAGGTGCATTACATATGTAGGGGTTATACAAGGAGTGCATATGCATGCAGGGATCATGCAAGAAGTGCATAAATATGCAGAGGCTATACAAGAAGTGTATAAATAGACAAAAATTATACAAGAGGTGCATCATGCAGGGCTATGCAAGGGTGCATAAGTAGACAAAATTATACAAGAGTGTATTATACAGGGGTTATGCAAGGTGTATAAGTAGACAAAAATTATGCAAAAGGTGTATTACATATGCATGATTATGCAAGGAGTCATAAGTAGACAAAAATTATACAAGGGATGCATTACGCATGCAGGGTTATGCAAGGGATATATAAATAGACAAAAATTATGCAAGAGTGCATCATGCATACAAGGGTTATGCAAGGGGTGATAAGTAAACAAAAAATATGTAAGAAGCACATCATGAATGCACGGTTATGCAGGGGTGCATATTTCGCAAAAATTTACAAAGTTTTTTATATATATATTTTGATAATATATAAAAAATTTGTAAATTTTTGCAAAATATGCACCCCTGCATAACCCTGCATGCATGATGCGCCTCTTGTATATTTTTTGTTCACTTATGCATCCCTTGCATAACTCCTGCATGCGTGATGCATCCTTTGCATAATTTTTGTCTACTTATGCATCTCTTGCATATCTCTGCATATGTAATACACTACTTGTATAATTTTTATCTACTTTAGTGTTCAAAATAATCTGGCTTAAATGGGCTTATAAGCCATGTAATCTAAAATATACAAAAATTATGCAAGGAGTGTATATATATGCATAAATTATGCAAGGAGTGCATAATATGCAAAGGTTATGCAAGGGGTGCATAAGTTGACAAAAATTATACAAGGTTGTATTATGTATACAAGGGGTGTATAAGTAAACAAAAATTATATAAGAGGTGCATTATGCATGCAGAGATTATGCAAGGGGTGCATAAGTAGACAAAAATGATGCAAGAGGTTATTACACATGCGGAAATTATGCAAGGGGGCATATATAGACAAAAAATATGCAAGAGACGCATCATGCATGCAGGGTTATGCAGGGATACATATTTTGCAAAAATTTACAAAGTTTATATATATATATATATTTATAGAGAATGACTATTTTCACCACCATTTTTGCTAATACCACCCCAGATATCAAAAAGTACTCTGGAATAGATATTCTTATTAAGTAAACCCTTCTTTTGATCTTAATAAAAGTTGTTCATCAGGCTTTTCGGTTCTAATAAAAGTAAAATTATTATATTTAGACCAGTAGTTTCTAAGATATTTATATTCGAAGCTAGCTAAATTTCATTTACTTTTTAGAAAAAACTACTAGTTTGATTTTAATGATTTTATACTATTAGAACCGGAAAGGCCTGATAAACAACTTTTATTAAGACCAAAAAGTAGATTTTCTTAATAGAAATATCTTTTTAGAGCACTTTTTAAATTTTGAAGGGTGGCATTAGCAAAAATAGGGAGTGGAAATAGCAATACTTTATTTATAATAATATATAAAAACTTTGTAAATTTTGCAAAATATATACGCCACATAACTCTGCATGCATGATGCGCCTCTTGTATATTTTTTGTTTACTTATCACCCTTGCATAACTTTTGCATGCGTAATACACCCTTTGCATAACTTCTGCATGCGTAATGCACCCTTTGCATAATTTTTGTACTTATGCATTCCTTGTATAATCCCTGTATACATAATGCATCCTTGCATATTTTTTGTCTACTTATGCACCCCTTGCATAACCTCTGAATTATGCACTCTTGCATAATTTTTGTCTACTTATGCACTCCTTGCATAGCCTTGCATAATACACTTCTTGCATAATTTTTGTTTATTTATATACCCCTTGCATAGCTCCTGCATACTTATACACCCCTTGCATAACCTCTGCATGTATATACACTCCTTGTATAACCCCTACATATGTAATATACCCTTGTATAATTTTTGTCTACTTATATACCTCTTGCATAACCTCTATATATTATGTGCTTCTTGCATAATTTATGCATATATATTGGGGTGGTAAATCAACTAAGTAAATCAAAACTATGTAAGCAAACTATGGAATTTGATACATTACAGATTTTCACGT